GACTCATACTATCTCCTGTTGACTAGAGGGGGGGGGAGTGAGAGAACTTACACAAAAATGATCAAACTGATAGGTATGATTGATTTGCATTAATTAACGAAAATAAAAAAAATTGTTTTTTTTCCTTATAAGATAATGGATAAATAGGATAAATAGAGGTATTTGATGGGTTACGATGGCATGATATCCACGTCAGATAGATTATTCTATGAAGCTACAAACTTGAAGTTACTTATTAATTATCCACAGTGATGTGAACAAAGAAACAAGAATCCTTGACAAATTACGAAAGCTCATTTTCGGGACGTTATTTCAGTTAATTCAAAGCTTGTAAAACAATAACATTTATTTTTGTCCCAAGTCTATTCTACAGATCATAAGCTTTCGTTTGATGTATGATTCACTGTCATAGCCCTTTTCGTTCCAAAGCTATTGTAATTTAAACGTATTGTTTTGTACTCTATTTTCTACGCTAATCTTCAGTTTTGGACATAATCGTATTTTCCTAATTATTGTACGTTGTGGTCGGGTTAGTCATCTATTTATTCACCTATCTTTTTACACCGATCTACAATGGGGAATAGATAGAGTAGTGTTCCAGTTGTCCTGTCTTCTCTCACTCGCGTGCTTGTCAGCCAGTCAGGTGATACTATCGTTATCTTCTCTCTACCCTATTTCGAACTTACGCGTACTAGCCTTAAGGTTAAGCCCGTCAGCCTAATGCGTCAAGGTCTTAATCTGGATTAGACAAGTTATCCTCAGCACCACAAGTGGATGGACAGATCAAGGACGTAACACACAGTAAATATCATTATGTGTACTATTGAAAACTAGTAAGATAATGGATTCTGCTGAGACTTTTGAATTTGAAGTAGAGAACTGTCGAGCAATTGAAGACTATGGAATAATATGTAAGTATTTTAATTCAATTCTAGGAACTCCTAGATTGAACCAAATTTTAGACTTATGTGTCTCACTATCTGAATGATGGATACTGTAGTGAACGAGAATATAAGTGTGGACAATCAAATGTGTTTACAGAATATCTTGGTAAAATTTATGAATCATTCAGTAAATAGTTCATTTACAAAATGTCAATCAATCGTTTCAGATTTTATTGTTCCTTCATTTCCACATCAATCACTCTCTATTCTCGTTCTCTTTTCTTGGATCTTCTTAACTTTCTACCGCCAGGCATTTCACTTTCGATTGGTGATACTTACTACTTGTATCTGTAGACGTCTGTAGCACACACCAAAGATACCTTTAGACAAATGAATCAAGGATTCAATGTTTTGCATTTTAAACTTCAGTTGATTCTGAATGAATAGTATGTTTATTATTCTCTTATCCAATCACCAGAGCAGCAAGTTTCGTTCTAAAGTGAAGAGATTAGTCTTGAAGCTATCTTTATTCATCATCATTATCCTTTTCTTTCTTATCTGTATTTACTATATCTTATCTTGTTTCTTTAGCCACTGACGATACAATATTAAACCTTGTTATTTTCTCTTGTGTTCCATTGACCTTATGGTAAATTATTTTTAACGTCTTAACAATAACCTATACATACTTATGCAATTTAATCATGTTCATTTTGTTCCCTTGTATTCCAACTATGATGAATAGTTTTTTTCTGTTTTGTTTTAATCATATCATCATAATAAAGACCAATCCTTGCTTATGATATCGTTTTTTTTCTTTCTTTACTATATCACTTTGTTGTCATAGCAACAAAATCATTTTAATAAAATATCTATTCTGTTTATTTGTCTACAAACAAACAAACAAACAAACAAACAAAAAACCAAAACTAAAACAACAACAAAATAACAATTTATCTTATCAAATATATTTAAATTGTTAATTTTTAAACGTTTTTTTTCTTCAAATCTCTTATTCAATGTTCAATAGTTCTTATTACTTTGTTTTACCTCAATATTTCTCATTCATTATGTAGCGCAATTATAAAGTTTTATACATGTGAATTAATTGATTAATTCAATCTCATGTGTTTATTGATCGAACAGTGTAATTGATTAATAGTATTTGAAATATAAATTCATAGGTGTATACTGATCATCAATAAACCGATGTTTACAAAACAAACAAATATATTTTGTCTTTTCTTATAAGTAGTATCATTAGTAACAAACACAATTTTTTTTCTCTGAATTACTTTTCTCAATGCATTTCTTTGTGCTTAAAATGTACTTACTTAATTACTTACGCCTGTTACTCCTAATAGATCATAGGTCGCCGACCAGCATTGTCCAACCCACTCTATCCTTGGTCTTCCCTTCTGGTTCTATTCAATTCTTGTTCATTCTTCTCATATCTGTCTCCATTTCTCGGTTTAATGTGTTCTTTGGTCTTCTGGTGGACTCCAGGCGGAGTTGCTTAAAATATGGAGATATGGAAACTCTTAGAGTTTGAGATATGTAACAAATCGATAGTTGACGCCATTTAGTTCATAATATTTATTGTTTATTGTAAAATGTGATTGGATTTGTTGGAACACTAATAACAAATGATGGTTTTTATTTTTTATCGTTTTTTTTATAAATCTATATTGTATATGTATTATGGTATGTTGGTAACGAGTTGTAAGAAGAAATTGAAAAAGGTTACACTTTCATGAAACTTAGGTAGAGTTGTAGAGAACAATAATTGTGGATTATTCCTGAATATTCACGTTTGAATTGTGTTATAAGTATATGAACCTACAGACAAATTGAGATTAGTACGTTAAAGGACTGGATGAAATCAAAAAAATATGTTTACTTACTTCAGGCGATCAATTATTTTGAGCCGAAAGAATACTTTTGTGAATTACAATGTTCCTCTGTTTTATTATATGACAATCCATTTTGAGATATTCATCTTATTATGTCAATATTAAGAATCGTTAAGACGATTGTTTAGTAACAACATGAACTAATGAGAACTAGCAGGATGAAATGTACAATTTTTCCGTTTGAATTTGTGATTGTTCAGTAATAATCTGAGACAAAGGAGTTAGTTTTTGATGAGAAGTAACTTCTATAATCGAAATACTTGTATTTGTTGTCAAAAATACATTATCTACTTTAATTAAAGATTGTGGTGGTTGTAAATGACCCGTAACTTAACGAAAATGGGATATTGGGGGTTTGAGGAATTCACATAAGTAATCATTTTATGCTTTCACATACTTGTCTCTATTCTTTCAGAAGAACTTTGCTCAACGTCGCTTGTAATATTATTAGCTCCCAAAGAATCCTCCTAGTAAATAAGAATCTAGGAAACACTGAATGTATAGAAGAAACGTCTTACAAGTAATGTATTATTTTCTAGAAAAGCCTCTATTTTATACTTTTAGAAATTCCCTGGCATGATTGTCTTCAAACATATAACTTAAATACCTAAACTGATCTTACAGAGTCCTTACTGAGGTTAATTCTGAATAGTATATTATCACAGCAGTTAGATCTTATCTAATTTAGTCATTGCAATTTGTGTGTGAGAGGAGCAATCGATGGCTTGTATTTATTGGAAAATTTCACTGATCTCACCGTAAATATGTTTGTGAACACGGAGCTACTTATTTCAACGCAAGTAGTATGACAGTAATAAAATATTATTTCTATCTGTCTTTAGCTTAAAATAGCACTTCAATCATTTGTGCTATTTGTATAGGAAAATGGTTTCTTATGTATCATTCGTTGTTTTAATTCCCCATGCTAGAAAGGATCCGAGTTATCAAGTTTCATGATCAACTGTTAATTCTTTCTTGTGGTGGAAACCTCTGGTACATTTTTTTAAAATTCATATTTTGTTATGACCTTTGCTATTCCCCTATTGGTCGTAATCGCTTTTAATTTGCCAGTTTTTCTGCACCAAGTTAGGGCTTGGATAATATATATACACAGTTGTCGTACTTTAATTTTGTCTAAATTACATATCAAGTTTTGTTTTCCACTCCTGCCTTCTTCCTGGGTCCTACCGTTGGGAATTATTGTTGAGAAGCTATATCTTGTATCAACCACCATTTTAGCTAATCCTCAATGGATTCCGTTCGTCTTAGAATTATTGCTATCATTCGTAATTAAAAGCTATTATGGTCCCTACCGACAGTCTAACCACAATCGATTGGCATAGATCTTAACACACTAATAACGGAAACTGAAGTTGATGTATTAATTTAAGGACGAAACAAAATTCTTTCAAAGTAAGTTTCACCAAGAAATTCCATCAACTAGAGTATCGCTGAAAACTTGAGAGACCTAGTTGATTCATCTCTTTGTAGTTTCTGACACTTAGTAATACAGTTTACATTTAATTGATGTTATTTAAATGAACTAATTAACTGACCAAGAAGATCCCTGTAGTATTGTTCATCGTGTTTGCAAAGATAGTATTCGAAAACCGGATCGGAATGTAATTAGGTTTCTTTTTACTTTTCTATCAAGCGATTGACAACTGAAGCTCGTCACTAGAACAGTCAGTATCTCTTTCAGGAGAAACTGAATTTATAACACAGAATACTGTTAACTAAAAACTGACATCTAGATCGGATGGTATGAGCTACATCACATTTATGAAAAAAACCACTAAATACTTTATGTATTTGAAGGTAGAACTGATTCACTCTTTCTCTCTTAATTTTACCGAACATTAGCATGTCATTTGCTTCTTTCGGCTAATTCGTACTGACTATCTCCACTTGATGTAGTCCTTACTCAGATACGGTTATAAAAAAGTGGATGTCCAGAAATTAGACTAGGTTGATGTATACAAATATAATTAGAAGGGAATAAATTAGGGATCAAAATTTCAACCTGGTGGACAATAAGACAAATATTTCTCTACTTTAAACTATGGTTCATACTGCTACATAGTTTGATTAATCCTATTGGATAGTTTATAATGTAGATGGACCAATTATTCATCAGTTTTTCCATTTTAATGGATAAAATGTAGATAAAAAGTTACAATTTTGTAATTCTTCACAGTTGCTGTCTAGAATGTCTCCCCTATTGAGATAAGATAACTGTCGGATACTATTTTTTAACTTCAATAGTTGGTTAACGGAGTTAGTCCGTGATAAATTCATCAATCTTCACAATCGCCCTAAACTAATATTTCATAACTGAATAAAATTTGCCATAAATAAATGACTTTAGAGCTTATTTTATATAAACAACTTGGTAATATTATTAAATTTGTAATGTTATAATCAATAACAGTAATTGAATTAGATCTTTGTATCGATTCTTCAACACTACTGTATCATTGACTTAAAGAAAACCGGTATTCAAAACAGTTTCCAGTTGATATGTAAGTAAATATTTGATGAAATTTTATGATGTGACCAAAATTCACTTTAAAATATCAACAACGAGATGACTCATATCGTTCTTGATAATGACATAAACATCGCATCCGTTGAACAAACTAGCGACTATCTAGATTCAGCAGGTCAGCCTAGATTGCATTGAGAGTTTGGACAATTGATATAAACATCAACGTAGGCGCACGTACATCCAGGTGATAAATCACAAATAGAATGAAATGCGTGTCCTAGATTCTGATGCTAACAATAGTCTAAGCTGAATAATTTTTCCCAATCTTACCACTACAGATACCTCCGTTTAATAAGTAGTAATAAGTTTTGGTAAAAACATGTCATCAGTATAATTCCAGTCACTTGACTCCCTTATAAAATCAGCACAGCTTACTGATAAAATTTGTGGTAAATAGTTTTCTTTGGTAAAATGTTAACAATAGGAAATAGTTGAATGTGTTTTACCTGCTCATAAACTGACAGAAATTTGTGTTTAGTGTTGCATTTTAAAGTCGATGCCTTCTACTTCATTTATTGTTCCTCTCTTTTCCTGCTTGTAATTACAATATTTCACATTCTTTTAAGCCATCTATGTTTTCTCTAACGCTTTACTTTCTTCTACATCTAATTTGTCTTATATGATTGGTTATTCTTTACTTCTTACGGATAAACCTGATTGTTATAGGATTTGATCAGTGTCGTTTAATCTGATTGTACAGAGCTGTCATTCTAGTTGCTTATTTGGTTAAGTGTTTTTTCTTTTACTTTGGCTGTTTAACGGGCCAAGTTCACACACATGGATCATTATGGATCCTTGGTATTCACTGAATTTTCTGATGGGAAGTACCACAATTGAAAGTTATTGATTTAATACTTTAATTGTATTCATTTCTTTACAGTACATTATTTGTACCATTTGGAATGTTCTTCTTTATCATTTAACATCATTAGCTATCAGTTTGATAACCTAGGTTCTAAATATCAGTATTTCATTTTCATTAACCTAAATATTGCTAAAGGTAATTAACAGAAGTGTACTGATATCCGTCGGGAAAATACAGAATTTCTAATTATAACTGAACAGCTATTTTGTTGTACTTTGTGAGTGTGTTCAACACTATCAACAGGTGGAAATATACTATACTGACGATCTTCAGGGAATTCCAAAATGAACTCCTAAAAGTATAGTCAGTATCTAGCAAATCAGAATTCAAGTGGCATGAGTGAATAAATCAATATATAAGAAAGCTTAGGGTTAGAATCGGGAATGTTTACAATTGTACTGAAAAGTACGTAAGGAGATAGTTCTTTGGTTTCAAAACTCAAGTGACTTTATGCTAACTTCAAACATTCATAATTTATAGTAAGATGTCTATCAATTTTAAGGATCTTTCTAACGAAATGTTGCCATATGTCATTTAGATTTTGTTAAGATATAATTTGTTTATCATCGCATTTCGAATTCCACGCTAAAATCCAATAGTCACTTTCTAATGTCTAATTCGTTCATTATCAAAATATGCTTATACCTATCAACCAATGTTTTGATACATTGTTTAACAAAGAAGCTTTAAGGTTCCCTGTCATTAAAACAACACCAAAGTTAGCTAATAATCAAGTAAGTAAAGGAGATATATAAATCAATGTGTTTAGACATAGTTTTGATTAAAATTGGATTAAAAATAAATTTTAACCAGAGAGTGATTTTGTGCATATTATAGTAATTTGGTAAATGAATTCATGAGTCAGTTGAAGCTAGACCACCATGGGAAACCTGGATTGGTTGAAGTTGGACATTAATACCGTTGGATGCCGGCCCAGGGGTCTGGAGGTTAAGCACTCGCTCGCGAGACTGGATCGTGGATCGGCAATCGTGAGGAGTCTCACAATAGGATGCAACGGCTGTCCAGTGTATCCAGGTTTTCTATAGTAGTCTAGCTTCAATCGACTCATGAATTTCCTTCTATTGTCTTTACCTTCTCCTTTGGGTTATGTAAATCTCATTATTTCCCATTGAAGGTACCAGTTATTGTTCAGTCATAAGATTTATTGATACACTTTTATTTATCGATTACAATTGAATAAAAAGTTATTTCCAATATTATAGGCTAACTGTCACTTAAGAAACTACTGGCAGTAAAGAAACACTAGAGATATTCAATGTGTATTTAATATGGATACTTATCATTTAGATGGTGGTTGGAGGTAGTCGACAGGAAACCCTGGACCTGGGTTTCGTACTACTTGGCACTCGTCAGGAAGGTGTACCTGTAATCTTGAGGGAACTGGTACTACCTGGCGGAAGCAAGAGTTAACAAAGAAACAGAAAAATAAACTTTAATTCCCTCAGTATTGATAAGTTAAATCTTATTTCATCGATTTAAGGCTATCTGAATGTAGAATAAGATTAAATTTCTACTGTTTCGAAATATGATACGTAAAGATTTTAGAACATGCAAGCAATTATGATAGAAATACGTACTTTGGTTTACATCACCATGTTTTCTTTTAGTTAATTGAAATTACATTCAAAGTGTAGTTAACTCATTCATTAAACTTGATTCATGTTATATAATATTGCTTAACATTTTATGTTTAAATTATGGATTATTCAATAGTAATTCAATAGTTCTCTTATGAGATTAGAAGGTTTTTAGACTAGACTATCATTTATGGACGAACCAATCAGGTATAAGATAACGGATCTCGGATTTTGGCAGGAAATCCACTTGACACTTGACTTGATATACATAACATTGATTACATCTCAGTCCTACAGGAGGTCACTCGTGGCCCAGATAGCTCAGTGGTAACGTCTCTGACTGTGAAGCTGGGTGACACGAGATCGAATCCTTCAGGGAGCAACAGTTCCCTCAACATTACAGGTACACCTTGCTGACGAGTGCCATGTAGCACGAAACCGGGTCCAGGTTTCCTGTTGACTACCTCCAACCACCATCTAATCTCAATACATAGTGCCCGCAGTGTCGAGTCACCTAGACTGGTGGCCACATTGCAACATGATCGATAGCATTCGATCTGCACTAATAAGGACTAGACAAGCATGAGATTGATCACCACCCAGTGATCAATCAATTGTGATTACATCTCAGTCCTACAGGAGGTTAGTCACGGCTCGGATAGCTCGGTGGTAACGTCTCTGACTGTGAAGCTGGGTGACACGAGATCGACTCCGCCAGGGAGCACCAGTTCCCTCAAGATTACAGGTACACCTTGCTGACGAGTGCCAAGTAGCACGAAACCCGGGTCCAGGGTTTCCTGTTGACTACCTCCAACCACCATCTAATCTCAAAATATATAGTGCACTCAGTGTCGAGTCACCTAGACTGGTGGCTACATTGCAACATGGTCGGTAGCATTCAATCTGCACTAAATAAGGAATTGACACACATGACATTGATCACCACCTAGTGATCAATCAATTGTGATACTTATCGTTTGAATAACTTTTTATCAAAGTGTACTTTTATTACAATAAATAATGAATTAGTACTTTAATATATATATATATATATATATATATATATATATATATATATATATATATATATATATATATATATATATATATATATATATATATATATATATATATATATATATATATATAATGTAGTAGTCATTTTTAAATGAAAAGTACTTAAGCCTGTAATACAATAATTCATACTCTTTTCAATCATTGGCTATTAATTATTAACCCATTGAAAATAAATTATCTATTTCATTAACTTAAGACTTCATCATACATAAGAAGGTACTTTAAATAAATAAAATAGAAATCAGTAAATGGGTGAAATTATTTCATTATTAAAGGATTATTATTGTTGTTTCACAATTTGAACAACAATTTTCATGATCCAAACAACACAGGTAAGTACATATATATGTTTTCTTGCAGAGAAATTTCTTATTATATGTAACTATAGTAACTGACTTTTTGTGTTGTGTATGCCCAAGTATGTTTATTTGAGTGTATATAGTTGAATATACCTTGAATACCTTGACAACCGGATAAAAAAAAACTATTCTATATTTGTATTTATTTTTTGCACAAATCTTTTTATCTATTCATCATTGGATTAATCTCATTTCCTCTAATCAGATAAAACTTCTCAAATAGTCTTAGAGTGAAAACGAATCTCTACTGTTCAGTATTGTACTAACTAACTAACTAACTGACCAATCATTGTTAAAATGGCTAGGTCATGAATAGAAAAGAACGGATTTAAATTAAAATATTTGATTTTGGTATGTAGATATTAGAGAATGTGTTGTTAAGTTTTTGTTTTTGTTTAATATTCTTATATCCATTTTATGATACTTAACAGGAATAATTTTGGTAAATATTTCAATTGAAAGTAAGAATATCATTACTATTTGTTTAGATGATTTATTGATAAAGGAAATAGGACAATTTATTCAGTACTTTTAATTGGTTGATAGCGTTTTTTTCTGGCTAGCAAGTTAGTTTTCTACGGGATGGGGTTGCTAACCCCATTCCCTAACCTCCTCCCTTATCCGGGCTTAGGAGCGTCAGTAACCTCAGAGGGGCTCCAGGAGGAGATCTTGTAATGATAGGTAAACAGTTAATTGATTTCATTTAATTGAATATTTTTATTATTATCGTGGATGTGCACTGCTGAGGAGCCCCACAATAGGACGAAACGGTCGTTCAATGCTTCTAGGTTTTCCATGGTGGTCTAGCTTCAGTTGACTCATGATCTTAACCATTGAAATTACTAGAATATCCACAAAAAAGCCCTTCTGATATTTTTATTATCGTTAAAATGTATTTGGGTAAAATAATGTAGGGAAACTCGTTCAATATTATCTGAGTTGTTTAAAAAAGGTGGTTAATTCGCTTAATTGGACAATGGACAATTCACTGAATACTTAAGTTTATTGTTCTATGACAACATTATCCATATATACAATCCAACAAGAATTTGGTTTTATGAAAGTAGAATAAAAGTAGAGGAATTTGAAAAAAAAACAATTAACTGGTTTATATTAGGTAAATTCGAAAATAGTTAAATGTTGATATCCACGTCATTTAAATAGAATATTCCATTATTATGGATTGAATCAAAATCTAAATCATTCATGATATTTATAAACGATATTCGTCAGAGATTAATATTAGTTAAGATTCTATAGTAAATCAGAGAACAATAGAATATTCCTTTATCCTAGCATGGAACTCCTCGCTGCTGAGTGCTCTTGACTTCATCAATAGGAGAATCCATAGCTGCTCACATTCATCATCTATCAGGGAATCGAAATTAAAACTTCCACGTCTTCTGATGAATTGATATTTAAAGGTTCATATCACAAATAAAAATGACTTAATTTAGTTTAAACGTTGTAATATACCATAATAACACGAAGTAATTGACCAATGGTCCGTCGTTTTCAATGATTGTTTACCTTAGATTATTTCATAATGTGAATTATTCTTAAATTGAATAATCCGCAAAAGCTATTTGCGTTATCGAATTTTTTGTTTACTCTTTACATTTTCAGATGGATCCTTCAGATGAGAGAGAAACAAAAGATGAAATAGCACAATCAGTTAGCAGACAAGATAGTCAAATTCTAAAAGAAAGTGTTATTAAAAGTATGTGACTAATGAAAATCCATTAAGAGCTGAACAGTAAAACACTTCTGTTCTACAACATCTTTAGAACGTGGTATTGTTTATTTAATGGTCGAGTTATTTGGAATAGTTTCGTTACTTTCTCATCAAAATTAAAGGGTTCTGGGCTTGATCCCTGATGGGGTAGTGGGATTCTATTGACCGCTAAGGGGTCCGCTACTACCATAGAACAGGTGTCTAGTATTCCCTGGTTTTAAATTTTACCGCAACTAAGATCAATAAGTGACGAATATCACCCATTAATCATTGGTAACAAGAAAGCTTGTCTCAGCTCACTTCTAAAAGATGTTCTAATTATTCCAGTCTAAAATTTCACACACACATTAATCTCATTTTTATAGGTAAATACTACATTGCAGTTTACTTGTGAATATGTCGAATCATTAATTCATTCAATTCTATTTTCTGAAATTAGAAGGAGATAAAATAAATTTTCACCGGAAAATTTGTCTGAATCGAGACTCGTGATCTTCTTGAGAAACGCCGAAGAAACAAGGAGATTATTCAAGTGTTTCACATTAGTGCAGGTCTACCAATTATTTTGCTTTGTAATAGGTTCACAAAGTTTTAATCAGAATTTCGTGACTGTTGGCTTTCAGTCATGTTTAGAGTGAGATCATCACTGTAATCGATATTGATTGAATATTATTGTATTTTTTTGAATTCGTTGCAGTTGAAAATTTATTTCCTTGAATTCTGACTAAATGGTCCAAAAGTATTATGCTCACGGTTGGTTTGAAATGTTCTAAGTTTGACTGGGTAAGGAGATGTGAGTAAGCACTGTTTTTAAGTCTCAAACTAAGAATAGCTTGTTAGCTAATGTCATTTTGTAAAGGTGAATTACTATAAGCTATGTGAAATAACTAAGATTTGGTTAGATTATAAACAACAGCCTTTGGTACACCATTTAATAATGATAACAATAACAATAAGAATAATAATAATAGTGATAATAGTAATAATAATGATTGTCTAACTTAATAATGATGTTTAATGATATTCTTATGTATAGGTCTATTTATAGGCTTTCTTTCGACCCCATAATTACTGATATTATCTTCTGTCATTCGTAAATTATAAGCCAACCAACCAAAAACAGTTGATCAGCTTCGTATCAGAAATGGTCCAGTTATGCGTATCTATCAGGATATACAAATGGTGTTGTATTATTACCTTATATTATGTGCATATAATCATATGATTTACGAGTTTGAATAATAAAGTGTAATTGTGATCACTCATTTTACTTTCTAACGTGCTAGTTAGACGTTTGAAAATGTGAAGACTTTTATGGTTTAGTAATCGTGTAACAAATACGAAGTAATAGAGTTGACAGATTTATTGTTAACGGAAAGGAATAAGAATACAACTTTATTGCACTAGCCACGAAACTTGAGTGTCTACATCCGATCATATATGTGTACATAGCGTAGTGAAACATATTTCTTAATATAATATAAAACAGAGTTATCCAATGCTCCTTGGATGTTTGTTTTTTCTCCAACTAACACTAAATAGAAATTAAAAGTCCTATCGAAATGTACAGATTCTTAAGGTAATTCATGGTTTGATATATCTGTATATCATTGGAAAGAGCTTTCTTCAAACTAATTCTCTTCGATGATACCTTACGTCACAAATTCATTTTAACTTAATAACTATTGGAAATTTCACAGAGCTTTTTTTCAAATTTGTAGATGTATTTAGTTAAGGAAGCTACACGAACTGAGACAAAAGAGAATCAACTATTCAATCATGTTTAAGTTTTCTTGGATTTTAATGTCTATTCAGAACCAGGTAATTTTAATATAGGCTACAAAGACATAGATCTTCTCCATTCAATATTGATCTTAATTTTTTTTGTATTTAATTATAGGTATTTATGATTCACTTTCTTCGGCAAAAAGTCGAAAAGTCACTTTAAATCAAATATGTCGTTGTTTACAAATGCTTAATCAATGTCCGACTTCAGCTACTTTGGATAAAATCTATTCTGATTATACACCTGAAGATATGGAAGGGATTGGACCAGGTAAGTTTTTCTAATTAGGTGTAACAGAGGAAAAGGTATGAATTAATAAATTTTATTCATGATAAAAGTACTGGATTCGAGTCCTGGTATTCAAAATAGGACATCTTGGATTCCGCAAATGATCACATTTCATTTATTTTATAAAAACTTGTAACATAATGACTATTCAAAGCCAAACTCACTGGACGCACATATGTTTGAGTAAGAGTAATCAGAAATCAGTCTTCAGTATCAACAATAATCTTGCCTAAATTACATGAAATCGCATGCAAGATATTTGTTGAAAATGGTTTTAAATAATAATATTAATAATAATGTTATTACCGTTTATTGATAGTCATCAGCTGTCTCTTGTCACGCATTAATATTGACTGTGAAACATTTGAAGACCAGGTAGCAATGGATAATTGTTATGTCCAGGCATGTAACGCCGCAATGCAGTGCACAGTGAAGAAAACTAAACACAGAAAATATTTTCTGACATATCTGTAAAAAGTTATCTCCACAATTCTATATCACATACCAAACATGTTATAACGGATAAGTTCAATCAAATCGACAATATGTAATAATAAACCCTTAACTGTAGATTTTATTCAAAAAAGTCTTTATAATCTATGGTCTGACTCACCTACTAAGCAAATTCTTAATGTTTGTAAAGTCTAAAGTAGACGGAAGGAGATAATACAGTCTAATTATAAAGCAATACATTCAAACACAATATAAAATCACTCAGACTAACTTGAGCAGGAACATGTAATCGATAGGTCTTGGCTAAACAATTGATCCACTTATCTATGATAGCTTGGTTGCAATTATAGCTAACTTACTGTGTATGACCTTGGTGCTGTGTGAACTATGTGGTTGGATTTGATACATCTAAAATGCAAATCATAATATGGAAGATCTATTTCACATGAATAAGTAAAATTAAATAACCAGGTCTGTTGTGATATATCAACTAACTGAAGACAATGGTGTACAGTGGCGCAACTTCGTGGATTGGTTGAAGTTAGACAATAACATCGTTGTGCGGCGGGTCAGTGATTTGGTTGGTTAATCTCCTGGCACGAGACTGGTAGGTCCTGGGTTCGAATCTTGCGGGGTGCGGGATTGTGGATGCACACTTCTGAGTTCCATGCTAGGACGGAACAGCCGTCCAGTGGTTCCAGGTTCCCCATGGTGGTCTAGCTTCAATTGGCTCATGATTTCAAGCAATGAAATTTCTAAAAATCTCCACATAACGCCTTTTGATAACTAGATGAGAAGTTGGTTAATTTAAAAACTGTCTAATCTTCCACCAAATTATGCATTCATTTTCAGTTGTATAGTTAAAGATTAACCATAATAAATATTCAATATGGCGAAAATTCAATAACTGAAACACTGAACTATAGTTTATAACAAACTGTTAGTATGTCTATTATGAATAAAATGTTAGGTAAAAGTTGAATTCCGGATATGCATTTAAGTGAACATCAAAGTTATGAGATTTTCAAGGTTACCAGCTTAGTCGGAAGACAGTTTTATTGTATATAAATAGACATCATTTCTGTAGAATAATTTTATATTTTCCCGTCCGATTTATTTAATGGTATACACATCCTAAACACTTGCTTAACCAGAGAAAGAGACTAGAAGGATGTAGGATGTCAGATTACTTAAATTATTATGAATATGTACATAAGTTACTGGATTAATCCAGATCAAGATATGAAGTAGTAACCTTCATCAGGCGAATAAACTGCTCACTTATGGTAAGCCAGCTGAAAATTGGATATCTGAAATACGATATGACCTAGCAACAGGATGTGATCTATTAGGACTTACTCGGGGTATTGAATGATTAAGAAAACTGAAACACGTTTGATGGATAGTTTTTAAACTAACGTTTTACTGACCGCTAAAAAGATAACACTCATTTCACACAAAGCTATTGAAAAGTATGCCAATATAGACTCAATTTCTTAACTGAATCAGAAATCATCCAATTAATTCTTCGGAGACGAACTCAACACAATGTCTATGTACATAAATGCAACGCCGCTAATGACAAGCAATAACAAGCATCTCAAGGTAAGCTGAATTTACATTTGTGAAAACTATGGAAAATTCAACTTCTAATTGCAATCAGCTTGGATAATGTTGTTTATAGTGATAATGAGAACTTTGTAGTTAATGAATTTGCTGTAAAAAAGATTTCGTATCATAATAGCATATAACTGGATTGAAAAGATGGTCCATCATTTCGAAATTTAGCATCAAAGGGTGATCATAAATGTCGATCAGTGTTATGTGATTAATGACAATCGGCAGGGCCTTACATTATGTTCCACTTTGTACTTGTCAAAAAAGTACATCTCCAGTTTTCAGTGGATTGACTCTGTCACTAAGATTCAGATTCAGATTCTTCAGTTTCACAGTCTAAGACGTTTCCATGGGGTTATTGGTTCCGTGCTGACCTATAGGATTGTTATATTTATAGTGTTTGATGAGTAGCAATCAATATCATATTTATCTACTCTTTATCGCTGATGTAAACTCAGTCCCAACCCAAGTATCTCACTGTTAACATCTCAAGCTGTAACACTGGATAATCTAGACTCTAATCCTACCTGAGGCATCAGTGTCCTGAGGACTGCAGATACCCGTTAGTGACCAGTGGGAGCTACAAGAAACTTTGATCCAGGCCTCTTTCAAAATGACTCCGATCAACCAAAACACTACTATTAGTTTAACTAAATCATAACTATTTCCCCGTTGCGCTTATTTGAATCACGAACAGTGTTTAGAATCAGTGTTAAGTCGGTTTTCATACTCTGTCCATGTTCTTTTCTCATTCAAATTGTTTTTTGTGTATTGCTTTATATTACTTGTTACTATTCAGTAAGCAGTTCAATTTATAATTATTTCTGAACATATCGTATAACTCATATTTATTTGTGTTATAGAGTAAAGTATTTAAGTAAACTAATAAAATTTATTGCATTTATCACTATAATTACTTTCCCTCAGCCCTTGTAACAGTCATTCTCAGTTGTTTTTCTTACATTCCTTGAATCTTTGTCTGTTAGCAACAACTTTCATATTTGTGTACTCTTGGTTCTCATTTTGGACGTTGATTAACTGCTGTTAACACTAAACATAGGGTGAGACTATACTTTATAGACGAACCAATCATATTTAAGATAGCAGGTCTTAAATTTTGGCGCAAACTTCATTCACTCATTTGGTTAAACATCATTTTGACATTATAGCTGATGTCATTTCGTAATGAAAAGTCAAATCTAATTCCTAATCCTAACGTTCAACTGTAGATCCTAATCCTAATTCTTTACACTAATCTATAACCATCATTTAACCTTAGTAAGTAGGTGGACATTCCAAGATCATTTTGATGTTGCTAAAAGATCGTCTGTAAATTATAGTCTCATCAAGGATCGTTCCTTAAACAGATCATTGTTTGTTTATTTTTGAACTTATATTTCACACATTTTGACAGAATTAATAATAATCCTTTTTTCAACTTAAATAATGAGTGGATTTTCATCACGGCATTTGTAACGTTCATACTTCCTCTTTCAATTTATAGAGAGTATTGCTATAGATTTGGATCAATTTACTGAAATAATTCAAACATATTCCTATACAAGAGAGGAAAGATTGAATCAATTGAATAATGCATTTCTGGTGAGTTATAATCATAAATCATGAAAACAACAACAACAACAACCAGGTTTCATTAGGATTAGTCTCTAGATAAATTGGGCTAGTTTCTGACTATGTGTGATAATTACTATCCAATGTCAGTTAGTGATAATTAATACAAATCGAGGTAATATTTAATAGGAAATTTCAATAGTTTTGTTTACATTCCAAATATAGATCAATCGAACTTCTGTTTTTGTGTATTTTCCTATTTGTATAACTACTGTGTATTCAATAATTGTTATGAATGACACGTTAATACACTACAGATCTGTTAATTAGTCTTGTATCAAAATGCCAGTAATTTATGTATTAAAATGTTTAAATTGTAATCTATTATGAGGTTGTATATTGTATTATATAGAATTATGTGAATTATTGTGGTATGTGCTACTGATATCCACAAATATAAGCAGTATGTATCATCTATGGAATGTGAAATATCTGACAGTAGAAAGTTAAAAAGATCAAAGAAAATGGAATGAGAACAATGAATGATTGCTGTGGAAATAAAGGAACAGTGAAGTCTGAAACAGTTGGTTGATATTTGCAAATGAAGTATTTACTGCATAGGTCTTTGAATTTACTAAGATTTTCTGTAATTTTGTGTTCAAATACATTCGATTGTCCCCATTTATGTTCTCGTTCACTATATTATAAGTTTAAATATTAAAATGTGCTTGGAATAACTCATTTATATTTTCTAGTATTCTAAATGGTAGTTTGAAAAAGTAGGATCAGTGAAAGTAACCTTTTAGGGACGAGCGAATCAAAATTAAAGAAACCCCTATCGAATTTTCTCGTAAAATTTTAAAATAAACGTCTTGAGCTGGTGTAGAAGATTTGTAGCTCAGGTGAATGATTTTGATGGAGTTTTATTCTCTGAGCTGGATGGTTTGATCGTGGAGTTTTCATCGTTGTTCTTCTACAAACTTCTACATGAAGTTTGTGCTGATAATGTCGTTCATAAGAACGATGAAAGCTCCACGAATAAACCATCCAGCTCACAGAACCAAACTCCATGAAAATAAACGTCTTTAATACTTTTTCACATTAAATATACAATAGAAATATTTTTATTTAGGTATTCAGATTGTTTAAATTTATTAGGAAGAATTCCTTTTGTCATCACAAAGTAAAATATGATCATGTTAGACTTGACATTTGCTCATTACTCTATATGTATTATTAATATTGTTAATGGCTTTATTCAATACTATATTTATGGTACAATATAGAATTCTCAGCACAAGGTATTCCAATAAGTTACCTTTTCTTATTTCTTGATCGATCACGGCGAGTGGTCTCTGGTTAGATGTCAACAGTTCAGTAATCGATATCTGAATAACATTCATCCTTTTTAGTGCATATTTCCAACTACCACGATGTCTCTGATTGTACTTTTTTGTAAGTTGTACAGCGAAAGGTTATAAACATTTTGTAAACACGCCTGAATAGGTTATGCAATTAGTAGACATAAGGATATGTTAAAACAAACAAAAACAGGTAACTTGTTAAAATATCTAGATGAAAGGAACAGGTAGCTCAAATATTCCATCTGGCCTCCAGTTAATCCGTTCAATTTTAATCTACATGGTTTGTAGCAGACTAGTAATGATGAAATCATTTCATTAGTGATTCAATAAATAATAATATGCTGTTTTAAAAAGAATACTAAAATATATGGCGATTTTACGTATGACTTTTCTTAACCACAGTTTTTCTTCAATGAATTTATCAGTGTAGATTTTGAAGGTGACAATGAACTTTGAGGATAGTAGTCTAAAGAACATTCAGTGAGGAAGCTTTAGTGTGGACAGATTCGCTGATACATAGATTAATGAAGTTATGTAATGATATTTCTACAATATTAAGATTGGAAAACTGATAATAAGCCTTGAAAAATCAACAAGCTTCCTAAAGTCACAATACTGTTGCAGGTTGCTTTAATTCTCTACAAATAGACTCTCTGTTGATTGGCGTAAAGGTGGATTACTGTATACATTCTTGTGTCTACAGCAATCATGAGGTAAATACTGTGGGATTGGATTTGTTATTCTCTGGCGTAGGCAAGGCACAACACAGTTTGACAATTATTTTCCTCTGCTGAATATTTCAATCAATAATTACTGCGAAGATGATTATACTAAGTAATCTTCACTAAACACTGTGGCCTATGAGATCAGTCAAATGAGGAGAAGTGAGAACATGTACTCATTGATAACATTAAGTAGCCATAATGAAATACCACGGACTAATATTAATTTGTTCACTGAGAAATTTTGATGATATGTTTTTTTAGTGGATGCACAGTAATAAACAACACCTAACTAATATGAATTAACTGTTTAGTGTCGAACTTTTTACTCTGACAAAATTACTAATTCTCAGTTCGTCGTACTCGCTGCAGTTACCTGAATGTTATCACTTCTATCCCAAGTGAACTTTGTGGAAGTGCACTTTTAAAAAACCCCTAACCAAGGCTAAATAAACTTACAGCACTATCTAGCTAACATTTTTTCAGATTAATATCAACATTGAATGTCATTCTATAGAAAAGAACAATTCCAGGAATAGTACTTATTGATGGTAAGTAGTATATTCAGTAAAACGTGATTTCACTTTACTTACTCCATTTGAATACATAACATTTTCATTAACTTTACCTTATTTTGAATTTTCTTACAAATATTTTACTAGTTCTTTGATAAAAATGAATCTGGTGTCGTGGATACAGAACCAATGAAAACAATGCTGTTAACTGTCGGTGACTGTTTTACAGATAAGGAGTGTAATGAATTTTTTAAAGAAGCTGCACCTGGAACAGATGGCAAATGGCCTTATGATGGTATGTGACCTGGAGGAAGTGGGTATTGAGGTAGCGAAAAGAAGACATCATAAAACTGTTGGTCTTTACTGAAAAATTTTTAGGACTGATTATACATAGAATTTGCACAACATTATCCTAATCAACGTGAACTTTCTAGAAACATTAGTGTTGAATAAGATGGACACGATAATCTGATGACCAATTTTCTGGTTAGCGTTTTTTCAGCGAGTTAGTTTTCTACGGGATGGGGTCATTGACCCTATGCCCGACCCTCCTCCTTTAACCAGGCTTGGGACCGGCAGTAGCCCCAGAGGGGCTCCAGGCGGAGTTGATGACCATATTACTTAATTAGAAAATAGATCCCGTTGTTTAAACCACAGACTGACTGTACTTAGAGAACCACAGAAAATTAGAAATTATTGGACAACTATTTCGTGTTAGTAATGAACTCCTCTGATGTACTGATCTGTGAGTTCTGCAGGGATTGAACCTAACGCTTTTAGGCCTTGAAGTGGGTTTGCACTAGGGAAGACAGAAAACTATAATCAGATCAATTATCAGAGGCTTTAACAAAACAAGTAAACAATCTTGTTAGTATTATTGGTTCATCTATAATCAGTAAATCAGCTGACTCAATAAAATTACTAATGCAATTCGACAGATTTTCGCAAAAAAAATTTGATAATATATTCATTCAAATAGGAATGATATGACAGTAACCTTTAAACTATTATTGGTATTATTACTATGACGGACATTGTCTAAACTGAACGATCACTTTAAGAGCTCGGATAATTTGAAATAAAATGTCTATTACGTAAAACCTCTTACCACATAATGCTGAAAACAATAATACCATGACAAAAATTAACCTATTATTATAAGTGGCTTTATTTACTATTATATTTTTGGTACAATATAGAATTCTCAGCACAAAGTACCTCAGGGAGTTTCTGTTTCTTATTTCTTGATCGATACTGAAGATGAATATTGAGCGATTGCCAGTTAGATGTTAGCAATTCAGTAGTCGACGTCTGAATGATATTCATTCTTTTTAATGAATATTACGAGCCATCACAATGTCTCCGACTGTAAATTTTTGAAACTTGTACAGCGAAAAATCGTAAACGTTTCACAAACGCACCTGAATAGGTTATGCAATCAGTCGGCATGACGATCTGCTAAATCAACCAAGGAAACAGATAACTTGTTTAAATATCTAGAAGGCAGTAACAGGCAACTCAGATATTCATGCAGGCCACCAGCGTAGTGCATAAGACATTGAATAATATTTTCGTTTTGTTTAAATCAATGAAGTGAACATATTCGATGTTATTCTAAAGATTTAATATATATACGAAGTTTTTTGCTTTACATATTATATCAAAGATTTTGTCAAAAAGCTGGTCGATGCTTATCCACGTCCACAATCAAAGAAAGCGAGATCTGCAGGAACAGGTAAAAAGAGGAGTGCTAGAAAATGATTAATTTTTTTAATTAACAGTTCATAAACCGTAATGGTTTACTTTTTCAAGAACTTATAAAATATTGAAGAATGATTAGATCTATGTTACGTATTCAATATGTATTCAATATTTAAATATATTTTATGATTGCACTTGTATATTGTTCATCTTATGATATGCTCATAGATTAATTGGGGTACATATTGTGGATTAACTCTATGAAAAGTAAGACTCATTTGTAATTGAAAAGTATCCGGGAATAAATATTTGAATAGCTTTCGACACATATCTATGTGTTAAGTGGAGGGGTGGTTTGTCCTTGTTGTGGGAAGTTTTACTGCCTCAATAAAGGCTATTTCATTGTACAACTAATCTATGTATATAATCTTTAGTTCACCTTAAGAAGACAGTACATAATATAATAAAAAATAAGGTGTTAAATTAGGAAAGTATAAACCTTAATGAAGGAAGTAAAGATTATAGACCTGCTTCCCAATCAGTTTTAATAAGACAAGTGCCAAAAACAACCAATCATATTCAAAATAAACAGAGCATGTTGCTAGTCACTTGTAGACGAAATTTCATGACTCCATTCTACCAGAAGTTTGTACCGATAATGTTATTTAAGTATAGAAAAAATATTCACAACTAAATCATTTAACTCAGAGAATGCAGTTTCCATAAATTTACACACTTAAACAGTAAATCTGTTTGATTATCTCGGAAGACGAAACGATTTTTACAGAAATGTAGTCAGATTTTAGTGGACTTAAATGAGAAGAATCTCTGTCTAGTGATAAGATTATTTTTCAGCCTACAATTGATACTATATACGAGATATTATATTTATGTTTCTGTATACAGTTAACATTTTTAATGAACTGCATTACTCTTGGAAAATGTTGACTGTTATCAAACTGATTCAAAATTAACCGCGTCTACATCAAATTAGAACAAGACCCCAACCAACTGTATGAATTTTAGTCTTCATATTGTTGAAGTAGTGACCCGAAAAATTTGAAAAAACTGTTTTAAATGTTGACGTTAAGAAAAGAATTAAGGTTTCAAAATAATCTACGATGCATAGAACCGAAATAATCGTAGTTGTCTGCTGTATACTTGTTAATTCACATGATACAACTCACTAGATAACATCATCCATGAGTATATTCACTGGTGATAGCCAAATGATTTGGCTTAGATCTCTCTTGTTATAATCTGAAGTCATATATAGGTTCATCACAAGAAGCCTACATATCAGAGGACTGAAAGGTTTTTTAAAATTTCACTTCACTAAATACTACTTTGAAAATCACACTACTAATAAGTAGTAAAAAATACATGTGCACAGGTTTGAGTGCCAAGTGGAAAATGGAATGGTGATGCATAGAGTTCAAGAACTTCACTTCTGTGGTATTGATTTTAAAGTTATATCACACTACTTTGTAGCAAACTTTTCCGTTTAAGGTGCCGTTAATCTAAGGAAGCCATCACAGTAAGTGGGATAATACTCTTTAACAATACAATGTTTTGAACTCCATCTGGTCGACAGAATTCGATTAGTCAATCAACTGTAAACAACATAAAAGCCGAGGCATCAACAGATCATTGGCAATGCCTCAAAATTCTAATAGATGCGACAATTTCTTCGGCACTGTAGATACACCTTGTTAATGAATTGTAACTATGACAAAACCAAACCAATCAAAGTTTCGTGTCAACCCCCTCTGACCATTGGGGACTGTTTTCACTGTATGTGATATAATCAAGATCTAAATTCGACTAAAACTAGCCAATATATCATGATTAGACACTTGTGAATTTGGCTGTTCACCATGTGTTATCATCTGAAATAATAGTGATCTATTTTTTATGATAAACATAAGTTCACCAGTAATATGATGTTTCATTTTACAGAGCAACATACTATCAGTAATTTTTTTCCATAACAATCGTATACACATAAACATTTATGTTCACATTGTTTATCCAAGGTCAAACGATAGCTGTAGGCTAAAATATTCCTACAGTCTTATCGTTTTAGTTTATTGGGAAACTTTTTTTTTTATCATCATCAATCATCATCACTTAATTAATTTGTTTTCAATTTAAACGATCAAGTGTTTGAATTAAATGGAAACTTTATGAGTATTCATTAAATGTAAGTTTAACTGGGAACTAAATTGAAACAAGGTAGAATGAAGGGTGATGTATGTAAACACTAGCATTTCATGATATTAGAGACTTTAAAAGTGTTATCAACAATCCAAGAATTTGAAGTGAGTGAGTATAGAAAACCGCTTCTTATTAGATAGTTCTTTTTACTAAGATACAAAATTAAATATTGAATAAAATTATTGCTGTTAAAATACAAATCATTTATTGTGTTTACATATTATTTGTTTAAAACACTCAAAATACTTTTTTTTTACAGTATTTTGGTTGATTATAGCAAATAAACTTCATTGACTACAAGAAAGAATTTGATAGCATGAACGGGACAACACTATGGCATGACTGAGAAGATCATATGGAATTCCTATGATGGATTAAACTGAAAAATCGTGCATGAAGGAAGCTGGTAGATTAGTTCTAAGTAAAGACCGCTGTCAGGCAAGGTTGCTTACTCTCAAATTTCCTCTTTCGCATGGTGATCGACTGGATCATGAAGACGTCAACATCTGTGGGAAGAATGGGATACAATGGACAGCTAAGATGCAACCGGACGATCAAGACTTCGCAGATGATATGGACCTCCTATCTCAATCGCAACAACAAATGCAAGAGAAGACAACCAGTGTAGCAGCAGTAAGTCTCAACATACACAATGGGAAAAGCGAAATTCTCCGATACAACACAGCATGCAACAATCGAATCACACTTGACGGAGAAGATTAGGAAGATGTAAAAACCTCCATATATTTGGGCAGCATCATTGATGAACACGGTGGATCTGATGCAGATATGAAGGCACGGATTGGCAAAAGAAGAGCATTATATTCACAACTAAAGGACATCTGAAACTCAAAACAATTCTCAACCAACTCCAAGGTCAGGATTTTCACTACAAATGTCAATACGGTTCTACTGTAAGAAGTGCAAACTTGGAGAACCACGAAAACCATCATCCAGAAGATACAAGTGTTTATTAATAGTTGTCTACGTAAAATACTTCGGATCCGTTGGTCAGACACTGTTAGCAACAATCTACTATGGGAGGGAACAAATCAGATCCCAACGTCAGAAGAAATCAGGAAGAAGCACTGGAATTGGATAGGACATACATTGAGGAAAGCACCCAACAGTGTCACAAGGCAAATCCTCACGTGGATCCTGAAGGCCGAAGGAGAAGAGGAAGACCAAAGAACACACTACGTCGATAAATGGAGACAGATATGAGAAGAATGAACAATAATTAGATAGAACTGGAAAGGAAGGCAGAGGACAGAGTGGGTTCGAGAATGGTGGTCGGCGGTCTATGTTCGATTGGGGTTAACAGGTGTAAGTAAGTAAGTAATAGTAAATAAAAGGGTACAAACGTATCCAAGTAGTGATGGCAAAACTTAATGAAATTGAAAGAAATATACTTACTCCTGTAAGGATGCAGTTGAAACTAGATATGAAGTTCGTCATTAATGTGTATCCACAATATTTTGATAGATCGAGCTCGGGAGATTTAGATCCAATAGTGAGTGAGTTTTTGACTACCTAGTTATTATTCAGTTGTTGTAACTAATTGTATCAACTAAATCATGATAAAACACAATAAAGTTCAATCCCATTGAAAAGTACTTGTTTTACTTTAGACATGGTTGGATTTCCTCATCTAAAACTATCACTTAAGCTTCGTAATTACATAGTTTTCAACTCCACTTATTTGATATTATAAGCGAATGGTCACCTTATTTCTCAAGTTGATGGATAGTAGTTTGTCACAGCTAAGTGTCACTATTCAGGATAATGGTTTACAGTTGATACAAAACAGAACTGAAACTCGTTACAAATGATATTATCAAAATGAAAATATACTAAAAAAACCAAACCTATATGATGTAACTCTCCTCCTTGATTGCAATTTTTACTTTACTATCTGCGTAATAAATTAAAGGTGTAACATTTATAATAACATCACTGTAATATGCTTTGAATAAAATGCTTTATTCTTATGAAATATAAATAGATAGGCTGTGGCAATCCAATACATGAAGCTTGATTCAACCTATTCAGAACTGATCAACAATAGGATAACTTTTAGCGGCCCGTAGTTCTCGACTCCATTTAGAGCGTACGAATGTTTGCTATCACCTATTCTCATATATTATCGTCGACTTAAATCGCATTATCCAATAACGGAATTAAATAAGTCGAATAACGAGAATTGACTTGAGAATACATATATTTCGTACATGGAGCGAATGAAACAGAGCAAAGCAAAATGACACGTATGGAAGATGGCTGAGAAGCCAACTCCATTTTAATCAAGCGTTACTCAATATTTATAGACAGACAAAATAAAGCTACAGACATGTGATGAATCATGGGATATGAAGTGTACACACATATACGCTCATATATAAAAACAGTCAAGACTAATAAGCGAATAATTGACAAAGTCAAAATATGACTCAAGTAGAATGAATAAAATGGAATGTCCGAATATAAGATATATGGGCTTAAAATAATGACTGACACTACAAACTTAAACCTCCCTATAAATAGCACACCCGTTGTACAAGTAAATTGCAATTTGAACTCAATAACTCAGGATATGACATAATTTGCATATAAATCGAACACGACTGACTTTAAGTCTCAGTCTGAACATTAACACTGGATCCAGATTCATATAGCTGTGGAATCCTGAACATGACGAAATGCGCTTCTCGGATTTCATTGTTAGCCATTATATTACAATATTAAGACAATTAACACAGGATGCACATATGTTAATTAAAACGAATTAAAATTCAGTCAAGAATAATAACAACAGGATAAATCAAACCTTTCATAAAATACAGTTTTACATTGAATACAACTACAGTATAGTGGAATCTCGTATGTATATGACATTGTTTTTGAACTTTTGATCTATACTATGGTATCGGAGTATTTCAAAGTGTGAGACTACCAGATCAAATCTCACTCTATGATTAGATTC